AGGAGGACTAAGATGAGGTACCAGAGTCAAGATCTGAGTTTAAGAGCACGCAATCCAGGAGAACTAGGGTATAAACCAAGAGTCGGGAGTTGTTTTGAAAGAGCACATCTCCAGTAGGATTAAGGGTGACTGCATGAATTGAGATCGGAAGCTCTACGGGATAGATGGGTATGTACCGTACTGTAAGTTTTCTTCGATTTATAATGGATTATTGACTGATAAAGTGTTCGAAATTTTTACCCAATTAGAGTTTCTCTGTTATCATCTTTGGTGTTCTTTATTACCTTAATTATTGATTATGTTATTCAAACTTATGATAAATTGACTTGTTTGATCTAATCATTTAAAAATAATTAAAAAGTAACTTGTTGCTTTTAATTGTGTAATTCCCCACGTGGGTCTAAATAATTTAAAACTTTCATAATCTGTCCTCCCTTCACTTTAAGTTAGGAATAATTAATAATGTTGTGATTATATTTTGTGTTGTTGAAATTTTAAATAATAATAATAATAGTGAGCTTATAGTGTGAATTACATATAAATAATTGGAGGTGAAATTTTAACTTGCATGATTCGCTAAAATTGGTCATGCAAGTCTTTATTACGAGCCATTTGAGCCTTTTTTTTTTGGGCTAAAAAATACATTTTGAAATAGTAGTTTGATAGAGAATGTATGGTTAATAAATGAGGAAATATTTTGAATTTACATGTAATGTTATTTTAATGAAGAATGCGTAATTGAAAAGAAGAAAAAAATATATTTTGAATCTCTTACTTTGTTTTGTGTCTGAAGTTGTTGGAGATCTAAGGATTCTCGTGTATTATAATACACAATCTTCTAATTCTCTTCATTTTTTCTTTATTTCTTTAGTTAGTTGTTCTCTCTTTTTTATTGTTTCTTTAAAGATAAGAGCAAAGATTAGCAACATTTTCCTAAATTTTATATACTAAAGGCTCCACATTGTTATTGCAATATTAAATGGTAAACGTGGAAAGGCATATTTAATCATTTATTAAGCTTGAGAGACAATTCAACTTGAAAAATTCTAATGCGCATGTCAAAGATGTCAAGTGGGACAAGTCGAATGCGAGCTATACGGCGAGACAAGTTTGGTTTTTTTTCGTGCGAGCCAGTCATCGGTTTGTCCGAAAGTCTAGAAACAAGAAAAAATAATTTTTCATAAAAAAAAATAAAAATAAGAGCAGGCTCGACTAGCCACACCAAAGGGCAACTTGTGGGGCAAGTCGAGCCTCATTTTCTTCAAACTAGTTGACCATTCTAGCTCGTCCAAAAGCTAGCATGGATTGGCTCATCTAGTGGGTCGAGCTGAGCTCGGGGGTCAACGAGCCGAGTCGAATGGTTTGACTCTCTGATATCACTACGCATGATACTCAGCCCCTGTTTGACACCTATTTTAGAGAAAAAATAAATTATGGAATAGTGATTGATGGAAGAATGTGTGGTTAAAAAGTAATGAGAATTTTTGGGTTTATGTGTAGTATTATTTTATTGATAGAATGTGTGGTTGAAATGAAGAAAGAGAAAAAAAATGAGAATGAGAATGAGAAAAAATGGGTGTCAAACAGGGGCTTAGTTAGCCATCCATAAAATTTTNATATATATATATATATTTGAAAAAAAAAACTTTTTCACTTTGTGAAACATGGACTTGAATTCTCTTCTAAAGGTTCAACTGGGAACCAATTTCGTGGGGTTCGACTTTTGACCACATCTTATGATTTTTATTAAGAAAATTTGGGTCAAGAATATAGCTGTGTCCAAACTGAATTATTGCTGCAATTTGATCAATTAAAAATTGCTTTAGATGGTCCAGTCAGCTGCCAGCCTTGACGGCAGTAGAACCTCCACAGGTGCTGCCCATAAGTCACTGCTAAATATGCCGACATTGGTAACAAGTTCCCTTGACCAGATTTTTTATTTATAATTTTTTGGATTTAAGAAGTGAACTGCGATTTCAGAATAACCAGAGAATGCCAGTTGGAGATGAATTTTAATGTGAATCTTCGGATTCAGGATTGTACTATAAAAAAATTTAAAGTCGAACTAATGTATAAAACTAATTTTACGAAAATCAGATTAAAAAAATTATATAGTAAAAATTTTAATCGGTTGGAACCTGGCCTGAAGTTTAGTCGAAATCAAACTTTAATTTCAAAAATACATTCAAAATTACAGTTTATTATTATCGGTTCATCCTACAATTTTCGTAAAAAAATACTAATAATTAGTCTCGAACAGAAGCATATGACGTGAAGAAACTTGAAGGTAATTTAAAAGTCAAGACTTAGGGCATTGATTTACGTAAATCGATAGTGGTTATTTGAAAATTTTACCATGCCCTATAATTCCATCACTTGTACTTTCAAAGAAAAGGAATCACGTGGCACTCTTTAGCCACCGTTTGACGTTCTTTAGAGTTTGTTTGAATTCCATTTTAGGAGAAGAAATGGAGTTTCGATATTTTTTTTTAGAATGTGGGGTTGAAAAATAAATTAATTTTATTAATTTGTAGAATATTTTATTGAGTGAATATGTGGTGGAAATTGTTTACTGTAGCAAACAATGTTTGATAAAACAAAAAAGCCATTCTACCAGAAAGAGTTCACCAGAATTGCACTAGAAATCTCACATGGAAGTAGGTTCCACTGGTGAATAAAATATTACAAAAAAAGGTGAGCCCCACCACCTGCTGTGTCTTTTCTGGTGTGTTTCTGTTGTGTACAGTTTATGTACACCCAACAGAATTGTTGATAAAATGGATGAAAAACAGGGGCTTACTTTAATTTAGCCCCATTTGACGTCTTTTTTTCACATACTCATTTTTAATCATATATTTACACAATAAAAAATTTTCACGTAAATACAAAAATTATTCCTACTTTTTAACTACACGTTCTCGTTTTGTAAAATAATTTTACATGTATATTTAAGATTGTTCCTTATTTTTTAACTCAAGTAATAATAAATAATGTGTCAGGCTGCAAGTTGCAAATTCATCTGCTTCAAAACTACATAATTGCATTCTACATAATTGATGTGGCTAAAAATTATGAATCCCCTGATTAACAATGAAATTTGACAAATTTTTTTAGGTAAGCTTTGCAGAAAGCACTAATTCTAGTCAATGGTTCTTGTAGGTCACGTCAATTGTAATGTTTGCCAAACTGGGTCCAACGTCAACTTTAAAAAATAAATATTTTAATTGTTGGAGTTGAATTATTTACTAGTAATAGAATGACGGTATCTAAAGTTTTAAATTTTTTACAAGATTTCGTACTAGTTCTCGATTCTCTTGTGCGAACTAGCCAGTTCAATTCAATTCTCCTTTCTTTTTCCCTCATTGAATAGATTTGTTTCTATTACTTTGGCTCGGTCGTAGATATTGACAAAATAATAATTATTGTGTATTTGATTAATTTTATTTTTTTATAAAAATGTCACATTTTCATGCAAATTTTTACTTTTTGGATGTTTGATTGACTTTTTTTCAACGCAAAATATTTTTCAAAAGTTGCTCACGTGACCATATTTTCCTAAAAAATAAAGAAAATATTTTTTTAAAAAAATAGGTAAGTTTTTATTTTCCAAACAATTCTTATTCTTTATCTCATCTACCAACCAATAAAATATGGACAAGTATAATATTTAAAAAAAAAAATTAAATCAATCGAACACATCTATTTAATAATTTTCAAGAAAATAAGTTCTAGATAATTCAATCGTCCAAAAAAGTAATACGTCTACAGAAACAAAGTAGAGTGACTTTCTCTAAGGTCCCCAATCTATCGAGAGTATGTCAACCATGTCGATAATCTTTTGACAATGCATACATGGTATCCCACTTGACCAAAAACGTCTATTTTAATATTAAATAGCCACATAATACACATCACGTAGAACAAAAATGTCCAAATCAAAGTGTAAGACAGCTTCGTTTCTGGACAATTTCCCCCTTTTACTCACTCACACATTAGCATCTAATTTCTAAATAGACATTTATCGTTAGGTGAGAATACATATAAAAAGTTTTGGATATGGCTATCGCATTTATGAAAGGTTGAGGTTCTTTAGAAATTTACCCCAATTATTTTTAAAATAATGCTGTCTAATATCAATCCAATTGTCACCATGTAATATGCTGATTGAAAAGTAGAATTATGTGACTCATTTAATTATTCCCCTAATTTAGTGATATTTAACGACATCTAGACTGCATTACTCTAGTTTTTAAGCTAGGCCAAGATCCCGAGGCTACAAAATTACATTTAGGCTGTGTTTGATGCACATTATTGAGTGGAAAATGCATTTTAATAATGATTTGATAGAAAATATGTGGTTAAAAAATAAGAAAAATTTTGAATATACGTGCAATATTATTTTATTGAAGAATTCGTGGTTAAAAATGGGTTTTGAAAAAATAATTTTTTATAAGAATGTGTATCAAACGGGGTGTTAAAATTGAATTGAAAATTAACAATTGAAATGGACAGAATGAGGAAATTATTTATATATTGTTGCAGCCCTTTGGAGTTCAATCCGTCGTTTTCATTCATTCAATGTTCGTTAGACTGAATCAATTGAAAATTGATTTAAGTGATAAACTTGGGGGCAGTTCAGTTGTTTTCTTTCTATTTATTTATAATCTTCAAAAACAAAAAATCAACGTTAATGGCGTTTTCTCTTTGAATTTCTTCACACTTGGAAAAATGGCTACGTACGCTATGTTTGACTTGACTTCGCCTTCATGTTACACCACCCCAAGACTCAGTCTCTGTATTAAATTAATTTCCGCGCTATTAATTTCTAAGCAAATAAATTGGGCATGAAACTCCAAAAAGTTGACGAAATATTTATTGAAGAGGAAGAGAAATTTGCAGCTTTGATTAGAAAATGAACGTCGATCGATTGCTAGTTTTATTTAATTGACGGGTTTATTGAATAAGAGAGTTCAGTCCGATCGAATATTGGACAGTTGGGTATGGGAATCTGCTTCAGCTCTGCCTCGGTCAACCAGAGCCCAACCACAACCGAGCAATTAAGTTCAGGTTTGGATTAATTTTTCTGGTTAATTCAATCAAAATTTGTTTAATTTGATTTCGATGAATTTTTTTATAAATTGCTTTTCATGTTTTGGTTGATTTTGTTCTTCTATTTTTAGTTTGGTAAATTAGGGATGATAGGATTGATTGAAACCTGTGGCTGTATCAAGCTGCATTCAGATTTGAATTATCCTTATGTATGCATAAAGAAGATGGCTTATTTTCGTGTTTTTGAACACGAATCCGGCCTTTAATTTGGTCAATTAGTACTAGATAGGATCCGAACCTATTTCATGTATGTGAATACGAATCTATTTTTGTTTGTAACCAATCTTCTCGTTTATTTTCTTGAAAAAGATAACTAATCCTTAAATCTTTGAGGGTTGGTTAACTGAATTTTATGTCATTTAACTGCATAATTCATTAGTTGAAGAAGAAAATCAAGATATGCCCTCTCTTTGATTATTTTGGTTATGCTCTACGTTAAAATTATGTGTGTGTGTGTGTGTACTGCAGTGGCAACTTCTCAAACAACCGGAAATATAACGTCGTCAACAGGAAACAGCAATGTTTCTGGGAGCAGCCAATTCTCGGCTGCAACTGGAGGGGACGAGGCTGGTCCGTCTGGGCAAATATTACCTCTCCCCAATTTAAGAATGTTCGCCTTTTCTGAGCTGAAGGCAGCAACAAGAAATTTTAGAAGTGATACAGTGTTGGGAGAAGGTGGCTTTGGGAAGGTCTATAAAGGTTGGCTCGATGAGAAAGGCACGACGAAAGGTGGAAGCACAACCGTAATTGCCGTTAAGAAGTTAAATGCCGAAAGCTTTCAAGGATTTGAAGAGTGGCAGGTAATTCACATTTCCTATCAGTCATCAGTTCTTCTCTGTGAAATGCGCTATCTTGCTATTCGACACTCAATGTTTGGACTTTCACTTATGTTTTCAGTTTTAAGCGTTGAAAACAGAATCATTTCTGTAATAATTTTCTTAGTTAATAAACCTATGTGGAGGTTGTAAAAGGAATGATTAGTTATTCATCATCTTAGAGTTTTTATATCAATTCATTTCTAAAAATTAACTTGAATTATTTCTGAAGCTGTCTGCATTTTGTTCATTATTTATGTGTCCAGTCTGAGATAAATTTTCTTGGAAGACTTTCTCATCCTAATCTGGTTAAGCTGTTGGGATACTGCTGGGAGGATACAGAGCTATTGCTTATTTACGAGTTCATGCAAAAAGGCAGCTTAGAGAACCACCTTTTCGGAAGTAAGGGTCTATAGTCTCTCATATTACATGGATTAGCCGATGGCCATATTCTTTTAATTCTTTTGAGCACTGCTTTTCAGGGGGTGCTGCTGTTCTGCCTCTTCCATGGGACACAAGGCTTAAGATTTTAATTGGAGCAGCTCGGGGACTAGCATTCTTGCATGCATCAGATAGAAAAGTTATCTATAGAGACTTCAAGGCCTCAAACATATTGCTTGACGGGGTAAGTTTTTGTTTTTTTACTCGCGATTTACTACCAATTCTTTTTCATTTTGGAACTTTAGCTAGCATTTTTCATCATAATTAGCTCGGCTTAGTTCTGTTGTTTTATACTTTTGAGAACTTTATAAATCTTGATAGATTAGGCAAAGTTGTGTTTGCAGTAAATTGACTTAACATAAGATTTCATTTATTTAAGCAGAAGATTTTATAGTTGGAAGGATGTTTTCATTTTTTGACATTGAATAAAATTTTCTTGCAGTCATACAATGCCAAGATATCAGATTTTGGCCTTGCGAAAATGGGTCCAACGCCTAGTAAATCCCACGTGACTACACGGGTGATGGGGACTCATGGTTATGCCGCTCCTGAGTACGTCGCCACAGGTAATTTGCAAAGCAAGTATGGCTAGCATTACGCGAATGCTAATTCATCATATTCTAATGTCATTCTTAATTATATACCAGGGCATTTGTACGTTAAGAGCGATGTCTATGGTTTTGGCGTCGTATTAGTAGAAATGCTTACAGGGTTAAGGGTACTTGACGAAAATCGTCCAGATGGGAAACATAATCTGGTTGAATGGGTGAAGCCGCATTTATTTGACAGAAGGAAGTTGAAGAACATAATGGATTCTCGTTTGGAAGGAAAATATCCTTCAAGATCTGCAATACAAATAGCTCAGCTTGCTCTATCATGTATTGAAAGTGAACCAAAGAACAGACCATCAATGCGAGAAATTGTTGAGATCCTAGAGCGCATTGATTCTGTTCATGAGAAACATAAAGAGGTTAGAGTAAATTCTGGGCTTCGGCCATCTTCTCGAGCACAGAAACCTTCGCAATATCGTTCTCCAATTCATCATCCAAGGCACGATCGCTCTCCAATTCGTCCAAGGCAAGATATAAATCAAGCCTACCCACTGCCACCGCACGCATAAGTTTTATTAAGTGTATTCTTTTAGAGCAGATCTTTAAGCATATTTGTCTCCCAATCTCATGGCCTTCAAAGCCTCTTCAGATGAAATGAGATTCTGTTTTTAGAGTTAAATAGATGAGAATATGCTTGTGAAAACTAGCAGTTTTGTGTACTTGAGAATTATGCTTGATGTAAAAATTTTAGTCGACAACTGATTATATAGATACATTTTTTTAACTCTGACGCAGCGTTTACTTCGAATAGCTTTTGAAAGGGGTTCGAGCTAGTTGAGTTCGAGGATTACTATGACTATAGTTCTTGGTAAATTTATTTTCATATGAAAGATATTAGAATTGATTTCTTTAAAATATATGCGACCCAAGTAATTGTTATTAAAGGATAATTGAAAATTATCTCTCCTCATGTTCTTATCCTAAAAGAAGCTAGATAAATACAATGTGCACCATTTTTAGTTTCCTGTAAATAAGGAAACCAGAAACGTTGGGATTCTTCATTCCATAGACGTACTCGATGATCGCAAATAAGAATAGTTGATTAATTATCACCCGTCATAGGTAGAACAACGAAACCAACAAACGCAAAATGGAAACAAAATCGCTTTTTTGAAATCGTTGATCTGTATCCACGTAGATCCGTCAGTATTTTAACTTTGAATCGAACCAAACCGTTTCGAAGTGATTTGGTTTAGGTTTCAATCTTTGCAAACCGTCAAACCATTTTTTTTTTTAAAAAAATCTGAAAGTAAATTAATTTAAATTTTATCCAACTCAATTAAAACTATACACATCCCCCTTAAAACAAAACTTTATAGTGATTCGTCAATATTTGAATGAGGTAGAAGAGTTGAATAATTCACAAAAAGTTATCATATTTGATATTTCTATTAATTTTCCTTTATTAGTTATTTTATATCATTTAATTATCATATTTGTGTAGATAATGTATTATGTGTTACAAGTGCAGATATTGCATCACTTAGAATGGACTAAGATGTTAAAATATTTGAATCATGTTGTCGTATTATAAATTATAATGATTAAAATTATAAAACTTTGGTTTGTAGTATTTTTAATGATATTTATATTTTAACGTGAATTTTAGACTCCATAACTTAATTTATTGGATATATGTTTTTGTTTTGTTAAATCGAGATTTTAAATCAAACCAAACTGGAAAAAGTGGTCTAGATTGGTTTGGTTTTAAAAGTTAGAATGGTTTGATTTGAAAAAAATTCAAACCGATTTAAATTGTTTGGTTTGAAAAAATATCACAAACCATCCAATCGAACCGTGTTCACCTTCCCGTCACAATCTTCATGAATTATTTCCATTATACAAATAATCTTTTAGTAAAATAAATATTCAAAACACAATAAGAAATCATTAACTATTGATCACTAAACGTAATATTCATCTTTGATTATGAATCCTGATAAGTGTAGTTTCTACACTTATTCGAGACCCTAAATCATGATATTTTATCATATTTTGGATAAAATTTCACCTAATTTATGTTATATTGTATTTTGTAGGTAAAACTTTATGTTTAATGAAAAATTGGAGAAAAAAATGCAAAATTGGCAAAAAATAGCAAAATTCAAAGATGAAACCTTGGAGTGAAATAATATATTAAATGAATTGGAGTAAAATGGGTCTCAATGAACTTGTACTGAAAATTTTAATTGGACCTCAATGTGACTGAAATATATATATATATCTAGACACAGAAACGAGCAAGAAAAAAAAAAGGAGAAAACAGAAAAGAAACGCACCGGAAAAAAGAAGTTGGCGGCTATAAAGGGTGATTATATATACACACACTGAAAAAATACAGAAAGAGAGAGGAGAAGAAGAGGAGGAAAACTATGGCGCTGGGAGAAAAAGGAAAGGGGAGAACAAAGAAAAGAGAAAGAAAAAAGGAGGAAGAAAACGATGCAGAAAAAAATGGCAGAGAAAATGCCAGAAAAAAAGAGGAAAAGAACAAGAGAGAGGAAAGAAAACGCAGCCAGCAGAAAGAACAGAGAGAAGAAAGAGAAAAGAAAAAAAGAGGGGGAAATGAAAGGAGACGAGAGATACGAGCAGTTTCACGTTTCGTCAATTTTCGGTGATTTCCTTTCATTTTTCGGGTTTTTATTTTTACAGTATTAATAACTAATTTTCATAATAGGGAAAATATTGTAGTCAACTTGTAATCTTTTATTTTTCTATTCAAGATTTCTGTTATTTATTTATTTATGTATTGATTTTATTATGAGTTTAATGTATTAAATTACTTGATCGCTAATTTGATAATTATGCGAGTCTCTTACAAATCGAGTGATGAGTTTAAGATATAGACCATATAATAAAATTCAGTAAAATAGTATAACGTGTAGAGATACGAATACTAATTATTACGGTCATAGTATGAATTTTTAGAACTAGTGTTTCGTTTAACTAAGGTTGATTCACATAAATATATGGAATTAAATTAGTTAAATATGTTCAATGAGAACTCGAGAGGGATAAATTGAATACAATAGGAGAATTTGATCGAACCCTACATTAGGTTATGAATCTTAAATTAAGAATTAAGGTGATCAATAGATGAAATTATTATGCCCCAATATTCATCACATATTTGAATCTTCAATCAACTGTTTTTGCAATCTTTTTTATATTTTCAATTATCTAAAAGTAGTTAGGAAAAATAATCACAATCATCATAATTATTTACTTGCTTTTATCAAATAGGAGTTAGAAAAAAAATTGTAAAAGTTTTGAAGTATATTTTTCGTGGAAACGATATCTGGACTCAAAGACCCACTATACTGTTTGTTACGATATTGTACACTTGCGACATAAAAAAAAACAACAAATTTTTGGTGCTGCTGCTAGGAACTATTTACTTTTAATCTTAATTTATTTTATTTTTAACTGTTATTTGATTTTGTTTTATTTTATTTTCTTTTATTTACAAAAATAGCTCGTTGTATGTTCCGTACCCAATGCGACGATCTCGAACCGTTTGACTTGGAAATAGAACGTACTTTCAAACGAAGACGCAAGGAATACAAACAAAAATAGCAACATCAAATGGCTGAAAATCAAAATATTCATATTCTTATTCAATCAATTGGATAAGTGGCCGCAAGAGTAGCGGTGCTACGGGATGAGCAGCAGGAGCGAGGGGAAATAAACGAAGGAGATTAGCCCGTTTCAATGTTCTCAACGCCAATAGCCGCTCATGTACGGTCCAGTATTGTGTATCCAAATTTCGGGGTAAATAATTTTCAGATAAGGGTAGAGTGGATCAATTTGATTAGCAATACTCTCCAATTCTACTAGCTACCTCATGAAAATCTAAACACACATATTTCCAGATTTCTCAAAAATTGTTAAAACCTCAATGCTCTGGGGGTTAATGAAAACACTATTAAGTTGCAATTATTTCCATAAATTAGTTGGGGGGTGTGATAAGTGTAGTTTCTACACTTATTCAAAACCCTAAATCATAATATTTTATTGCCTTTTAGATAAAATTTCACTTAATTTATGTTATATTGTATCTTGTATGTAAAATTTTATATTTAATGAAGAATTGGAGAAAAAAATGCAAAAGTTGTGAAAAATAGTAAAATAAAATTCAAAAATGAAACTTTGGAGTGAAATAATAATACATTAAATGAATTGAAGTTAAATGGGTCTCAACGGATTTAGATTGGGATTTTTATTGGACCTCAATGTGATTGAAATATATACACAAACACACACACATACATACGCACAGAAACGGGCAAAACAAAAGAGAGGAAAAAACAGAAAAGAAAAGTACATGAAAAAAGAAGAAGTTGGCGGCTATAAAGGGTGATTATATATACACACAGAAAAAATACAAAGAGAGGAAAAGAATAGGAGAAAAACTGCAGCACTGGGAGACAAAATAAAGGGGAAAAAAAGAAAAGAAAAGAAAAAGAAAAAAGGAGGAAGAAAACGACACAGAAAAAAATGGCAGAGAAAAGGCCAAAAAATAGAAGAAAAGAAGAAGAGAGAGGAGAGAGATAAAAAGGGGGCCAGTAGAAACAAAAGAAAAAAAGAGAGAGAAATGAAAGGAGACGGCAGACACAAACGGTTTCACATTTCATCAATTTTTGAAAATTTCATTTAACTTTTGCGTGTTTTTATTTTTATAATATTAATAACAACGACGCTGCTGTGAGCCACGTCATAAAGTTAAAAAATCAGGTGATAATTAAATGGGCACTTCTGACCAAAATATGGTGATAATCATATGGGGATCTGTGTGTGGGTGTGCGGTGGTGCTGTGGGTCGCAGTGGAAGTGCTGTGTGTGTGCGTTGCGGC